AGAAAGGCAGCATGAGACATTAGCTATGGGTGTGTCTGTCTGTCTGTCTGTCTGTCTAACAGTTTAGAGTAGGGCTGTGTTTCATGATTAATTCTCTTTTCTTTCTTCTCCATAGTTGCACAGTCTTGTATGTGTGATTTCACCTCTTAAGATGGGAACTGACTGGGTCTAGGAGTTTGGCTCAGTCAGTAAAGCACTTGGTGCGCAAACATGAGGACCTGAATTCAGCCCCCAGCACCCACATTAAAAAGCTACTTGTAATCCTACAGCTGGGGAAGCAGAGACAGGAGAATCCCTGGGGCTGACTGGCTAGTTAGTCTAACAGAATTGGTGCGCTCCAGACCAGTTAGACCCTATTTAAAAAAAAAAAAAAGTGAAGAGTGTTTGAATAAGACACCCAATGTTGACTTCTGGCGCGCGCACACACACACAGACACACACAGACACACACACATACACGCACACACACGCACACACACACTCATATACACACACACACTCATATATATGGGGGGAGGGACAGAGAGAGAGAGAGAGAGCTCTGAGGATTGAACCAAGGGCTTCCAGCATACTAGGCAAGCATAAAATGTGCATAATATTAATACATGCCTTGTGTGTTTGGAATGAAGATTAAATAAGATAATAGACGTAAAGTATTTAGGATAGTATCTGGTAAGTGCACTATAAATGTTAATTATCACCAGCATTGATATTCTTATTTTCTTTCCCTTTCCCTTTCCTAGTGTCTGTGGGGTTTTCAGTTTCCTTCCAGGCAGAGAGACTGGACTAAAGGCTGAGGTGAGTAACTCTCAGATCAAGGCTGACTGAAGTCTCTGTGGGCCTGGAGTTCTGGGCTGAATCCTTCATTTGACTCCTCACTCCCAGCCTCTGGCCTCTGGACCTGCCTCTTCAGAGTGGGCCCAGGGGCCTGGGAGGCCCCATTTTGGAGCTGGCTTTGCGGTCAGGCAGCTATAATCTGTCCCTGGAGCCACACCAGAGTCTCATTAAAACGTGCCCTATAAATGTTAAAAAATTTACACATAAAAAAATTCCATGCATGAAACTGAAACCGTACGTTTTACAGCCTTAGTTTGAAATCTTGCATAATATATAAAACCTTGGCCTTGCACTGGGGGCCTGTAAATCAGATTTTATAAAACAAAAAGCTTTTACCTTTCAAAGGGGTTTGGGGAACTTGCAAATTTTACAAACTTTACCAAGTGCCAGTCAGAGGCTGCTGGACCCAAGGAGGGGATCTGATCTCTGAGCCAGGTTACAAACAGGCCCGGTGATCACAGGGGGGCGGGGTGTATGTGGGGAGGATTGCTGCAGACCCCAGAGGACTCACCAGGGATTACAGCTTAGCCACCTGTGGGTGGGAGGCTGCACCCACGGCATAGAAATGGAAGCAGAGAGGGCCATAGTGGGGGCTCCTGGGAAAGATATTATTGGTGGCACTGTCTTATTTGCAAGTGAGTACTTTATTGCCACCAGGGAGAGGGGGAGTGACAGTGGGAGGAGCACATAATCAGGAGTCTGAGACCAGGGTTCTGGCCCTGAGGAGTTACATCTCTTCTGTGACTGTAGGCTCCCTAGCTATAAAATGGGGGTGGGAGGTGACTTGCTTCTTCTAGGATTGCGTCTCCCCTGAACTTTTTGTGATTCCGTTTGCCACCAGTAGAGACGCTGTGAAGCTTGCTCAGAAATCTGCAACTGGGACCCTCTCAGATATTTGGGGCAGCTCTGAAAGAGCTGACTCAGCTGTTTCCATGGAGATTTGTCTGGAAAAGCAGCTCTGGGAGACAGTGAGGAGCTTGGGAAGGTGAGACAGGCAAAGTGCTGGGGGTGAGAGAAGACCCGTTGGGGATGTCCAAAAGGTGGGAGAAAGCAGGGGAGGGCCAGAGGGGGTCTGGAAGGCCCAGGGTAGGGGTGTTGCAAGGGGACTTTCCGAGTGGCAAAGATTTGGGGGACCTAAGTGCCCTCCTGACAATCCCATCTATGAAAGTCAATATTCAAGGGCAAAGGAAAGCTGCCCTGACACACATATATATATATATAAAATAAATCTCTCAATTATCTCAGCTCATTTGCTTGGGGTCCCTCATTTTATGTCCCTGCTCTGCTGCGCAGTATATCTGTCCGGAGAAAGAGTTACAGTCCGTTGGGCTACGTGTGCGGGGTTGTAAAAAATACAGATGCCAAATTAACTGGCTGTGGCACTCGGCAGCTGATTGAGCTGGTAATAACGGGATCTGACCTTTTTCTAATTTCTAATTATGTGCATCTCGGCTGTGCTGGCGACATGATTCTTGTTCTAATGATGGCTCCTGTGCTTGGCCTCTGTATCTCCTCCTTTTGACACAGGACTAGGAACTGGTGGTAAAAGGCACTGTTTGATTTCCTTACCCCCACTCCAAAAGTTTCTGGGTCTTTTGATAGCCAGGAGGTGAGGTCGGGAATCTGGAACACCATACCATAGTGACATTGCATTTGAGATTAATCCTCAGATGCAAAATGTTTTTAAAGGCCAAGCCTATGAGCCAACTCATTACTTTATTACAATCACCGAAGGCATTTGCTGTATAGATGAGGAAACCAAACTTCAAAGGAATTCAGCCATCAAGGTCATACAGACAATAGATGCTAGACTCAATTTTTATATACATATATATTATACATATAATATATATGTGTGTGTGTAATGTACCCTTTCAAACCTCTCATTTGCATAATCAACTAACCAACCAACCAACTAGTCCTTGACTGTGGCTAAATCAGGTCCACACAATAAGATAGGCCTACCGAGGACTGTTACAGCAACTGGACCACTTCCAGCCCTCTCACTGGAGACAGAAGACCAGAGGATGCCAGAGGCTTGGGGCCCATAAGAGCAGTTTCCACAACCTATGTCCTCATGTCAGGGCTGTCACACAGTAGGCACTAAATTCAGTTTCATTGAACTAAACCAAGAAATCTGATTGATTTCAGAGTCCCAGGCAGGGTTGGTAAGGGCAGCTAATGGACTTGACCACTGCTTGGATTTCCCAGGCTGTGCTAGAATGAGAGGCTGTCTCTTATGGCTCTCTCTCTCTCTCTCCTCTCTCTCTCTCTCTCTCTCTCTCTCTCTCTCAAAAAACTCTCTCTATATATATATATATATATATATATATATATATATATATATAGTCTGGTAGGGATGGGCAAGGCATGTGAGGTTTATGTCTCCAGGCTTCCTTACTTCCTAAGAAGGTTTAAATTCCTTCACATTACTTAGTCTGGTTTTAGGTCTCTCTTTACCAACTTAGGCTTCCTTTTCTTTTTGTGTCACATAAGGCCAGTGGGCCCTGGTGCAGGTCCATCCCAACTTGTACAAAGGTCTGGCTGCCTCATTTCCTGGATCCATTGCTGCCTGGGTCTGGACTCTGAGGACTTGTTTTCCAAATGTAGAATCTTCTGATCCTGATTAGCCTAAGAGCAAGGCAGGGTCAAACCAGCCTGGCTCTGACAGTTACCAACTGTAGAACCCACACACCAGAAGCTTTCCTGGGGATTTCAGAGATTGCAACCAAGGCTCCTAGGAAGTCAGGCTGCTCAATGCCTGCCAGGGAAGGAGGGCCAGGGATGAAGAAAGATAGATTTGGGACTTTCAGTGCCCCTACCAATACCCCTGACAACCAACAAATATGCATTCCCTTTCATAGGCCTGCTCACACTCTTAAATGATGGCCTCATTACAACACTTCACAAATTTCCAAGTCAGGGTGGGCTTGCCTGGTACTATCCTGAACTCCATAAAGTACTGCATTTAACTCTGAGAGAAGCAGTGGTGTGGCTAATTCATAGCCCAGAATAATATCAAAATCATTTACATCTTTTCTGCAGATGCTTTGTGTATGTGTATATGTGTGCATGTTTGCATATGTTGTACATGTGTGTACATGTGCAGGTGCCTCTAGTATGTACATGTGTGTTCTTATGCATGTGTGTGTAAGCTTGTATATGTGTTAATGTGTATGAGTGTATGTGAGAGAGAGCATGTATTTTACTTCCCTTTTGTGGCTATGTTTGCTTTCCTAATTCTGCTCTCTTTTGGGGAGCAGGTATCAGCTAAACTCTGGGTGTGAGAGGTCAGCACTACCATCAATTGATGTGGGAAGGAATTTTGCAGAGTTTCCAAAAATCACTATGCATAATCTGGGCAATTCACCCATAGGAAAACCAGGAGCTGTGCTTAATAATTCCAAGAGGACTATTCAGGGTGATGAACAAATGCAGTGGCTTCTCCAACACCCCCTGCAGCAGAATTCCCAGGGCTAGATGAGAATTTCAGATACCATCCAACCCAGGAGCCACCAACTCTGATGATGGCTGTCGTCATGGCAATATAAAATGGAGGTTCACAGGCCCCCTCTGAATCTACCAATCACAATTCCTTGGCACAGTCCAGGAACTTGTATTTTATGGGATATGGAGATTATCTGGGTAGCGAACTGTTTGGGAGCATGATTTACTGTGTCCACTAAATGTGCAAGACCTCTGTTGGTCCTCCCAGCACGACTCTTTCTCCAGGTCTTTGTCTGTTTTGACATATTTGAACATGACTCTTACCTTTACATATCTGTCCTCCCTCAACCACGGTAGCATACAGTCACCAGCTTCTCTGTGCAAACTTGGAATAGTTACCTTTGACATTCTGGCTGCTATTACCCCACCCTCCTTCCACTTGTCTGAACTAGAAGGAGGCAGGTGGTCAGATGCTGGTACCACCAGGGGTAGAAATGGAGAGAACTTTGGCAGCAAAGCCTGTAGCTAGAATCTTAGTTTTAAAATGTGGAATTAATTTTCAACCATGAAATAATATATAGAGCTCCTATTCCATGGTGGCCACTCAAAACGTTTTGCCAAATAAATTAATGAAAGGAAGAGTCTTAGGGTATTTGGGGGAAGGTGATAAGAGGGAAGGAAGATTTTAGCCAGGGTGTAAGGTAGAGGGTCTTTACCAAATTGTCCAGTTCTGGGTCATCGCTGAAGAAGGGTTTGTGCTCCTGCTCCTGCTGGTGGACAAAATTCTCGATGTCCACATCAAAGCTGGCAGAGGTGATACACTCAGAGCCCTGGGTGGCCTGTTCACACTTCTCAAACAGCAGCGTCAGGAGCGGGAAAAGAGGGTGCCTGTGGGGACATCAAGAACTCACACATGTGCACACACAGAGACCTGCTGCAGGCTCCCATTCCCATGGTCCATCACTTCTCTCCCCCAAGGTCCAACTGCTTGAGAATGTCCCTTGTCCCCAGGGTCTGCCTGGATGGCAGCATCTTGTTCCTTGGCATGGAAGGCCCAGTTCTGGCACCTCAGAGGCCTCCTACCTTTTTTCTTTGGTCAGATAAACTGCATGGAAAGGTTACAACCCTTCAGAGAAGTAGATGTCCATTTTAGACTCAGCATCAGCCAGGAAAGAAATGTGGGAAATATCTAGAGAATTTCTGAATGTGAATGTTTGCGCTAGGTGACATGCAAGCTAAGATCCACAGATCCATTTAGGTAATGGACACACACACACACACACACACACACACACACACACACACACTGTCTGGAGCCAGCTGAGGGCAGCAGATGCATAGGGTGAAGTATATGAGTCCCCAAACTCATCCACACATAGTGGGCAGATATCTTCACCTACCTTGTCTGTTGACAGACTCAGTTTAGGTCAAATATCCTAGTTATGTATGTAACAACTCCCTGAACTTTTCTATCATCACATCCTTAGCATAGTTGTACTTAAATGGCTATTTGTGTCATTTGTTTTTTTTTTCGATTAATAGTCCCTGTGTTAATGATTGTTGTAGTCCAAGAATTCTGCCATGTATGCTGATAGCAGGCATGTAATAAATACTTGGTAAGTGGCTGAATGAAGGAGTAAACTATGTGCGTGTGCTTCTTGGATATGTCTGTGGGAGCAGAAGTGCTTACCTAAATGGCTCTATGGTTCTTAGCCTAGAGATCAGCATTTACTGGGGGCTTCTCTGATGACTCCTTACCTGTACACCTTTTCTCCAAAGCCCTGGGTCGTTTGTTTATCATCTGCCTATTTCTCTAGAAAGCGAACAGGAAGCAAGCCCACCTATTCACCCCTGATAGTCCAGAGTCTGGACTATATAGTATATGGATATTTATGTATATGTATATATCATAGTATATGGATCCTCACAAATATTTGTTAATACACTTATTTGCATGCATAAGTACATATCACACTTATTTCTTCAGCACATACTTATGTGTGTGCCTAGGCTGTTGACTCTGGACTCTGGAGAGCCCTATTCCCTTTCCCTGTCTTCTAAGAAAGCATCTACACATCCTAGTCTGTTTCCTCAGACAACGAAGATGACAGCTTCTGATTCTTTTTGTTGTTGTTGTTGTTTGTTTATTTTTTGAGACAGGGTCTCACTATGTAACCCTTGCTTGGAACTCACTACATAGACCAGGCTGGCCTTGAACTCACAGAGATCTGCCTGTCTCTACCTCCCAAGTGCTGGAATTAAAGATGTGTACCACCGTGACCAACAACATTTGCTCCTTTATTTCCCACAAAGCAGTTTCCTGGGAGAGGAAGAGGAGAAATGTGTACTGGAACTGGCTACTGGGCCCCTGCCAGAGGGATATACTAACTAGCACTGCCCAATAGAACTTTCTGCCGTGGTACAAATGCTCGGTGATCTGCACTGTCCAATACAGGAACTGCCAGCCACAGGAGGCCAATAGACCTTTGAAATATAGCTAGTGCAACTAAGACAATGCATTTTAAATTTTATTGAATTTTAATTAATTTAAATTTAAATAGCCACATGTGGCTAGTGACCAACATTTTGAAGTCCTAAAAAGGAAAAAAGGCTTTACTTCTCCTGCCACTGTCATGGCACACTGATTGGACACACGGAGACCAGAACAGCATCCACCCAGCACAGTATTTTCAGCATCGGTCTGTGGGTCAGGGAACCCCTGGTGCCTGTCGTATCCTGGAACTCTAACAATTCTGGGCAGAAACAGACGGGGCTTAGCTTCATGCCATCACACCCACCCTGCCCGAATCCTTCTATTCAGACTCTAGTGAGGTTGAAGGGAGATAAGGGCTTCGTAGACATCTCCCTGACCCTTGTTTAGAGAGCTGATGCGTAAACTCTTGGGCCCCAAGGCTGCAAAGAGAGAGTTGATATTTAAGGGTGGATCATGTGCATCCCTAAATTGCCAGAAGCTCTATTGTACCAGGTAAAGAGCTGGCAGAGAAAAACAATGGTGAGTTTAGCCACCCAGCTGGAGTTAAAGAGAACACCAGGTGAAGGGGTTAAACTCCAGTATAAGTCTTCATTTGCAGCCTCTAATACTGCGGCATATTATAGTCTAATCTAACCTGATCCCAGTTTAATGCAAGATTCTCCTGGCCCTGAGTGGAATACCAAAGAAAGCCTCAGTGGCTGTAATTTAAGCAGAGCCCTGCAGTGGTTTAGCTGAGGGCCATGAAAGGCAAATTCCAGACGGTGTTATGAATTATTGCGCCTTATGAACCTTCCTACTCTCAACAGATGCCTGCTGCCATTTAAACAGCCACTAGATCAATTAGGAATGAAAGGCACAAATCGACTCTGTACAAGGGCACTAAATTACCAGGAACTAATAATCCACAGCATCGTGCCAGGTGGTGGGGGTGCAGCCCGTGCCCCGACCTATGGCAGCAGTGCAGTCACCACGCACTCCTTCTTCACTGGCTGGAAGGAGGGGAGGCAACTGCTGAATAGAGAGGTGTGTGTGTGTGTGTGTGTGTGTGTACCATGTCTGTACATGTGCTTATGCACATGTGCTGAATGCAGGCTGTTAACAGAGTGAGCGTATGATTGTGGTGTGCCACCCTGTGTGTTTCACTGTATGTGCATGTGATGTGTTCATGCAGTACATGTATATGTAGAGCTGTGTGCATGCAACTTGGGGGGGGGGTCAGACTTTGTATGCCATGAGTACAGTGTGTGCCTTACCTGTATGTAATATGTGTGCTGAGTTGTATGTTCTGTGTACACAGCATGAGTGACATGTGGGGTGGGTGGGTGGAACCATGTTGGGAGTGAATGCCCCAGCTATAAGCACTAGGGGTAGGAAGAGGAGGTCTTCTCTGCCCCTATCCTTGCCTCTGCAGGGAGGAGCAGCTTTCTTTAGAATGGTCAGGGAGGGCCTCTCAAAGGAGGTGACATTTAAGTTAAGCCTGGAATGATGAAGGGGCAGCCATGCAAAAAGCTGAGGGAGAGGAAAGCAAAGCACTTGAAAACACGGCTTACTTCAGGAAATGTAGCTGAGTGTGAGGGAGCCAGGTGGGCAGGAGGGGAGTGGAAAAGATGAGGCTAAAAGAGCATCAGGATAAGAGGTACTTTGTAGGCCTCAGACAGAGTCACAGAGTCAGGCTTGTAGGTGGGCCAGGGTAGAATGGATATGGGGGGTGCACATACCTGGGGTTCTATTGTTTTGTTTTTGAACTGCTAGAGATGGAATTTGGGGCCTCTTGCATGCTTGGTAAGTACTCACCCACTGAGATAGGCCCTAGCCCATCTTGGGGCATTTTCTTTCTTTAAAAAAATTATATTTTTGAGCCGGGCGTGGTGGCGCACGCCTTTAATCCCAGCACTTGGGAGGCAGAGGCAGGTGGATCTCTGTGAGTTTGAGGCCAGCCTGGTCTACATAGTGAGTTCCAGGACAGCTGGGGCTACAGGGAGACCCTGTCTCAAAAA